GATGGGGACTGACACCGAGGGAGGCCCGGAAGGAGAAAACAAGAAACCGGGCCTTCTCGGTGGTTGCCCCTCGCCTGTGGAACACACTCCCCACTGAAATCCGGCTGGCACCCTCGCTGGGGGTTTTCAAAAGCCAATTAAAAACTTGGTTGTTTAAACAGGCCTACCCCCCAGTCAACTAAGTCATTTTCCTGTTCTCTTTCTCTATCTTTTTTCTTTCTTTCTTTCTTTTTTTTGTATACCACCATCTTGGAAACCTTTTGTTTAGAACTAATTAGGATAAATGCATTTTATATGTTTTTTAACTTGTTTTAACTGATGTAAGCCGCCCCGAGTAGACGTTGTTCTGATTTTTTTCCAGCATGGCTACAATTCTGCTGTTCAATCAACCAAATGCCAAACCTTTTATTTGCCAACCAGCTCCACATTCTTACTTTCTTTAACTGCCTTACCTGGTTTTGACTAATTGCCTGGGATGCTGGACAGATCTTTGGGTCTGTGTCCCAAGTCCAAGTCTTTGGTATCATGTCCATGTCTCGTTTAAAAATCAATTTTTCCCCAGAAAAAAAAGGGAGGAGGAGATGGGTTCCAAGTCAGAAGTAGAGTCTGGATTTATTTAAAAAAAAAACAAACTTCACAGCAAGTCTTGTGATTTGAGTCCCCATCTCTACTAATTGCCAAGGATATATCTGCAGACGGCAGTCATTACTTACCTTATTGTACAACATTTGGAGACTATATCTTCTCTGTGTGTGTGTGTTTGTGTACACATATATGTGCGTAAGTATTATTTTATTGGTTTAGTCTCATCAAACATTTACCTCTTTTTAAATCTTATCCAGCGACAAAAAGGCTTTTTAAATTGTGCAAAAATATCTGCTCAAATGGTCGAAATGACTAGATAGGCGGGGGATAAATACAATAAATAAATAAATAAATAAATAAATAAATAAATAAATAAATAAATAAATAGTTTGGGTGCCATGGCTGAGACAGGTCACAGGGTAAGTAACAACATTCTCATTTGCAGTAAGGCAGAATTCCTCTCTCTCGGTCTTCCTTCATGCAATCACAGAATTTCATGTCAGCCCCACACCAGCCCTCCATTTCAAAAATTTCCCCTACGTCTTTTGATTTCTTTTAACAGTGACAATCAAATTAGGTTTCATTTACATAAGAGAGGCAGTAAGAGTCTCCACTCTAACACGTCTGATGAAGTGAATTAATTCACAAAAGTTTGCAGTGCAGAATAAAAGTCAGTCTTTTAAGTCGCTACCTTGTTCTTGTGTTCTGTTTTTTGTATGACAACAATTAAACAAAATATCTGATGTGTAAGGTGGAGTCCAAAATGGAAGAGGAGCGCCCGAGGCTTGATGGCTTGGGCTCGGAGGCTGCTGTTCCAGGATGGTCTCCTCCTCCCTCCCTCTTTCCCCTTTCCCTCTTGCCTCTCTCTCTAAAGGAGATCCGGGGCTCCTTTGCTGGGAAGTGAACTTACTGTCTTGTTGCCGGAGTCGACGCGCAGGGACCCGGGGAGAAGAGAGACGGAGAAAGGGGATTGATCACCCAAGAAGAAGGAAAATGTTCCCAACCCGCAAAATCTCTTCTTTTTTCCTTTTCCGATTGCAGCTGCTGGCGTTTGTCCCAGAAGGAGGGGCAGCGAGGCGGAGAAACACACGGACTCTCGCAGTACTGTAGTCGATTGGTTAACGTGACTTCTTTCGGTTTAAAGCTCCTTCTTCTGAGGCCCCGCTTCGGGGGAGTGCCCCAGTTGAAAAGGCCGAGACTCTCGCTGCGGCCTCTCAAAGTTGTTCCTCTTTATTTATTTATTTATTTAACGCACACCTGGCCTGTGGGTCCCAAGTTAGATGCTTGACCGGCCAGTAATCTGGAGATCGACTTGGTGACTCCATAAAGTTCTCTTAGATGCCACCCACCCTCCCTTCTTTTCCAGAAGGAAAAGCGTTCAGTCTTTTCCCTTATGAGCCCCTGTCAAATCGCCCCCGACTTAGGCTGAGGGTGTTTCTTTGTCTGTCTGTCTGTCTGTTTATATTATTTCCCAAGGCAACTGACAGGCGCAATTGAAGCTACCTTGTTCTTGTTCTTGGAGCAACCCTATGAATTAGTGGTTTACAAAAGGCCCAGGTATTAACAATCTTGTTCACCTATTGCTCTTATTAGTCATGTTTTATCTCTGGCTTCCTGGGCATTCTAATATATTAAAGTTCTGGTACTGAACTACTGTAGCTGCCTTTGAGTGAAGGGGGTGTGACACATTCATTTTGTATTTTTATGTTTGCAAACTGTCTCGAAAGTAGTGGTTGTAGGTTTTTCGGGCTGTTTGGCCGTGTTCTGAAGGTTTTTCTTCCTAACGTTTGGCCGGTCTCTGTGGCCATGGGCATCTTCAGAGGACAGGAGCTAGAACTCTGTCTGATTAACCATCAGATCATGGCCCTAAAAAACCTTCAAGAATACATTGCCTCAAAGGTGTTGGACAACGTGTAAATTCAATAACTCAACCAATCAATCCATGTGATTCTGTGAACAGGGCAGGGCACTGTCAGGCTTAAAAGTCCCATCCAGGAACATCCTGATCATATGAAAAGTCTTATTACATGGCATATTCAGGTCAAAGTGGAGCAATAAGTTGTATTTATTCTGCCAAGGATGGTACTATCTTAAGGAATAGGGTGTCATAAGAATATAAGAAGAGCCCTGCTGGATCAGGCCAAGGGCCCATTTAGTCTAGCTTTCTGTATCTCACGGTGGCCCCACCAGATGCCTCTGGGAGCACATGAGACAACTCGATACCTGTCTCCTGATACCCCTTCCTCTGCATCTGGCATTTTGAGGTACCTTCCTTTTAAGCCTGGAGATTGTACATCCCCATCATGGCTTGTAACCCGTGATGGATTTTTCCTCCAGAAATCTGTTCAATCCCCTTTTAAAGGCATCTAGGCCAGATGCCATCACCACATCCTGTGGCAAGGAGTTCCACAGACTAACAACACCCTGGGTCAAGAAATATTTTCTTTGGTCTGTTCTCACTCTCTCAACACTCAATTGGAGGGGATGTCCCTTGGTTCTGGTATTGCGTGAAAGAGAAAAGAACTCCCCTCTACCCATTTTATCCATCTCCTACATAAGTTTAGACGTCTCAATCATGTCCCCTCTCAGGTGGAGGGGGGAAACAAAAACCTATCAATTCTAAAGGAAATCAACCCCGAGTGCTCATTGGAAGGACAGATCCTGAAGCTGAGGCTCCAATATTTCAGCCATCTAATGAGAAGAGAAGACTCTCTGGAAAAGACCCTGATGTTAGGAAAGTGTGAAGGAAAGAGGAGAAGGGGACGACCGAGGGTGAGATGGTTGGACAGTCTCATCGAAGCGACCAGCATGAATTTGACCCAACTGCGGGAGGCAGTGGAAGACAGGAGGGCCTGGAATGCTGTGGTCCAGGGGGTCATGAAAAGTCGGACACGACTAAATGACTGAACAAACAAAACAGCAATCTTGCAGCCCTTTCATCCTGCAGCCCTTTCATCGCTGGTTTCCCTGCCACTTCATAAGCCCCCTGCATTTCGTTGCTTGCAACTAAATTGGGAATGTGTCCTTAGGCCTGATAAAGAGACCTGGGTGCCTAACATGGAACCAGGAAATATGAATTATTGTCAGTTGCCTAGACACCTGCAACTCCTCCTTTGTCTCCTCCTTCTCCACTCCCCTTTGCCACCCTTTTCATGAGGAACATAAAAAAAAAACTCTGTAATAAGTGGTGGAACTCTCCTCTGCATGTTTGGAGTTACATCCATTATTTTTGCTTGCTTTCAGCTGAAAATAAACAAATGTATATTGGATCTCCTTGTCCCTGGTTAATTGGGCAATATACCAGAGACAGGTTAATGGCCAAACATTAGTTCTGGCACCCTTCATTATATATATCCATACAGATCCATCACTTGGATTTATGTTTTTTGGAGTCATTTTTCAAAAGGATGTTGTTTTTTTATTGCCATTGTGTGAGAAGGGAAACGAGGGAAAGAAGCCCCTCGCTGGAGTGCCAACCCTTCCACCAACTACAGAAAGGGAGGTTTCTCAAATGGCAGGACCTCGCCCACTCCATCCCCTGTCAAGAAAGAACAGAGGGGTACTGATACCTGGGATCTAGAAGTAAAAATGTGCAGGTTAATGGTAGCCATTCAAACGGAGGAACATTTGGCATTCGGGCTTTATATACGACAACCCTGTCCCAGCTTGTAAGATTAAGATAATCCATAATGAAAATGGAAACTTTAGCCAAAAAACAGAAGTATGGAGGTGGAGGGCCTCCTAAGGAGGAACTAGAAAAGATCATTCATGTGTAAAGATGGGAGATGACGGCTCGACGGCTGAGATCATGAAGCTGTTGATATTCCTGATTGTACAGACATGAAAGCTGGAAGGCCTGTTTTTAAAAATGGGTTCAGAGGAGAACTTTACAGAGATCATGGCCCCCCAGAAAGGAAAACAAATTCATTTTAGTTCAAATAAAGCCTGGTTTGTCAATAAAGGGTAAAATGAGTAAGCTGAGGCTATCATATTTTGGATTTTGCCCAATAAAGAATCCAGTTTTAAAGTATGATCTCTGAAAAACATGATTCAAGAGAAGAAACTCCATCAGTCCAGTTACAGGCTCCAACAAAGTCACCCACCAATATAAGAGCCTTGTTTTACTTTTCCCCACAGGGCTCCCTTCATTCCACGTTAGACAAAAAGGGCAATTCTCTGTACAAGTGAATAAATCGAAAAGTAAAGACAAAGTTCATTCTTCAGTGAGCCTGTGACGTTTACCCATGTAGCCCCTGCTTGTTTCACCAAACACAGAGCTCACACGAGTAACCCAGCACGCCCTTTAACACGCTGCCACCAGTTGATCTCTTTATCGACCTATATCTCCTATGAAAGACTGAGGTCCCCTCAGTACTGAACTTTTAAAAAGAAACCGGATTATTGGTTACAAGTTGTTTCAGGAATAATTCTTAAGCACATCCTTAAAGTTACACAAAGCTTCAGTATTTTACTTTAACCTCTCCTATCTTAATTAATACAGGTCACACTGACTATAATCACTCCTAAACACTCTCTCTGCCTCAAACCTCAGACCAGACCTGGGCAAAGTGCAGTCCGAGGGCACATACTACTCGCGAGCTGTCCGGCCCGTGGACAGTTTTGAACATCAAAACCATTTATAGATTTTTGTCTAAAGTTGATCAGTTGCTTATCTTTAACATACCGCAAAAAACCTCTTTAGTATTTGTGAAGATTAACAAGTTTAAAATAAAAACAATCATAACATAAGAGACTGGGTTCCATCAGATTTGCCAGGACCATGGAACGTGAGTCGTGGGAATCCATTTGTGTTCGAAGACTGGAAACCCCTTCGGGACCCGTTGGCGAAAGGAGACAAACTTCAAGATCATGTTGTGGACACTCGTTTAATGTTAAATACACCAATAAACCTTTCACCTGTTCTGAAGCAACAAAAATCTACTGGTTTCTTTGAGTCGAGCATGGAGCCCAAACGCAAACCTTCACAGTGATCTCCATAATGTCCCGTCCTCAACAGCCCTGCAGACAACCTGCAGTCCTGCAGACTCAAGGCTGTGGCTTTTTTTTTTAGAGAGTCAGCCCATCTCGTATTTGGTCTTCCTCCTTTCCCGCCGAACAATCAAGTGCCCTTGATAAAAATGTGAATTTGAAATAGATGTGTCCCCAGCAAAGCAGAGCATGTGAACTCTGGAGTGAATGCACATGAGGTGGAAGAGAACAGGGGTGTGCCGTTTTGTGGTTTTTTAACTCAAATCCTCCAAGAACCCAAGGAACTGCAGCTCATGAATCCTAATCTGCAAGTCTGTGGATTTTGGACCAAGGGAGACGGGGGTTATTTACCTGCACCATCAGCTTCTTTGATCTTTGCTTCACATTCTTGGTTTTTTTGTTTTAAAGGAAGTTGTCAATGTGCTTCCTAGAAACCATAGTTTTTTGGAAGGTCCCATCTGTAGCAGTAAAACTGGTGGTCTTGCAGGCAGGCATGGAAGCAGAGCTTTCAGCGGTGGCCAAAGAACTGACATTCCTCTTCCTGGAGGAATCTGAGCAGTTACTGGTTTGTGAAGATCCAGAATCCTTCCAGTCATCGGAACCAGTAACAGTAGGGAAGCTTCACAATTTCCCCCCACCCCTGTCCCCAGAGCCATCTCTTCCCTCCTCCCAGAGCAGCAGCACCCCTGGGATGCAAAGTTCTTCCCAGGCCAGCAGCAGTCAGGGACACACAGCAGGTCATTGTTTTCCCAAACATGGCAGAGGGGCCCTGTGGGGTCATTTCACCGTGGTCAGCAATGACCCACAGCTGGTACACTGCAATGCCTGCCTTGTGGTGGTCCAGAGGAGGTCAGACCCCAGGGATCTGTCCTCCACCGCTCTCTGCCAACATCTGGAGAGGCACCACCCAAGGCTCCTGTCTGTGGAAGGCAATTTGTCACCACATCTGGGGGAGGGAAGAGAGCAGCTCCAGATGGTGATGTGGGGAGGCAAAAGGAGGCGCCTCCTTCCAAGAGGGCAGCCATGGAAGTTTCTGGGGTCAGGAGCATGAGGCAGGCCATGCTCCACAAAGTGGCACCCGTTGGGTCTGCAATGAG